CCTCCGGTGGTTTTAGTACACCCTGTATTGTATAACAACATTGCTAGAATAACAAATAAATAATGAAGTCAGACTATCGGTTAACGACTTTATAAAGAAATCTCCGTTTTGTTTTGTGTTACTTGCGTCCGCGAAAAAAAAGCAAATAAACGTATAAAATTGTAAAGGAAGCAATAAAACTTGTAATCTCTTGTAAAATTATTCGGGTGGGTTTTTATGTTAGATTTAATCGGACCATAAATATGCGCGCGTATCAACGCGCGGGCAGAGAAAGACGGAAGCGCGCAGGTTGCAGTAACGTTTGAATAAAAACGCGACCGGTTTTGCAGCCGACGCCGTGGCAAAGATTTGCGGATGATTTCGGGAGGGGACGAGAAGGCAAATAATATAGTACTTAAGATGTCATTAAAAGGTGAGAGAACGCGAAAGAAGCGAGACACGGTGTCCGACACTCTCGCACTCATGGTCGGGGAATAAATTATCACCGAAGTAGTCGGACGCTAGAGAAAGACAACTACAATGCGTATTCATGAATACATTTATCCATGAATAAAGTATTCTTGCGACGACACACCGGTTATATACATCAACTTAAATAGAGCAAAAGCCAAGGCTTTATATGTTATTAAAATACACAATTCGTAAGTGCGGCGATATACTATGTTGGATAGATTGCGTTGTACATAGGTGCATATATAAAAGTATCATGAACATATATACATATGCACGTGTATATAATGTAAATATTGCATCTTTGCATTTTCAGGCGAGCATGTGTATTCATGCGCGAATGCTTCATTTATAACAGTTCGTTTATATCGAGCAATTTCACCGCTGGCTTATTTGTTTATAATGGTTTAAGATCGAGCTAATTATCGGTTATCGCTAATCATTGCATGTACGAGCCGTTTTATAACAGATAAATATCGGCTAATTGTAAGCCTGTTCTTTTATTAAAAAATATTAAAATCATACTTTATCTTATTACCTTATTTTGTCTCGTTTATCTTGTTTTATCTTATTATATCTTTATAATACCCCAGCAAGGCCTAATGCCCAAATTAATGTCCAAACTAATGCCCAAGAAATGCCTAGTAATGCCCAGTAATGCCGCAAATCTGTACGCCACAATGCCCACAGCGGTTTCCCCTTCGGTTGTAACAGATGACGAAATGTCTCGGGACTTTGTTAAGAAAGGGCCAATTCTAAACTTATTATATAAATTAACGTCATTAAATTAACGATCCGGGATGCTGAAATATTTCCCACTTGGATGCGATTCACGGAGCAAAATGGGCATGTATATCGTAAGATCGATACATATCTCATTATAATTCGCCGTACATACGCGCGGCAAAGCTAAAATGCCAATAAAAATTATATTCATAATCATACGACTGTACCGTGCATTATAAATGCCAATTGCACGGTTTGCTGAAGCTGTCCTTTCCAAATGCGATCCACTTCCAAATTTGATATTATCAAAGTAAAAACCGCGTTTAGGTATGAGAGCACCCTCTCCGCGACGACCGGTTAAGGGTTTCATTCGGAACCGAGGCGCGTCCGCAAATCCGTTCGCGTCGATACACCCGGCGACTTGATCTCACAATGACACAACCAGACTAACCTGGATGTCTCCTTGACAGCAGGGCGCTGCTGCTGATGATTGTGTTGCGGATGCGACGCGTGGTTGTCCGCGCCGATCATCCTTGGATGGATTTGTTGCGAATGCGGAAGTAAATTCAAGTACATTTGCTGCTGCTGCTGATGATGATGCTGAAGCTGCTGCTGCTGCTGCTGCTTCTGTTCCTGCTCCTGCTGTTCCTGCTTCAACTGTTCTTGCCACTGTTGCTGCCACATGCTGTACATTTCGAGAGGCACGAGCAAATATAAGTCTTCTAGAGAAAGAGTTCTCTCATTCGTCCACTCGTACAAAGTACGTTCGCCCGTCGACGTTGGTCATCGCAAGTCCGCGAACTTGTTCAATTCGCCGGTATATCGGTCGTACGATTTCCACTTGACGAGGGCAACGACGACCGTATCGGCGTCGCGGCTCGTCCAACGGTCAGCTCGCGTTGGCGCGTTCAGTGAAAACGCGGGTCGCGGCAGGTGCCCGCGCGGGCGTCGCTCGCCATATTGGAGAACGGCAGCAGCATCGTCCGGAGACGCCTCGCCGTCGCGGCCCGCGACGTCTCTCTCGCCGGGCGCCTTATCGCTGAAACGGCGACGGCTTGTTTGCCGGCCGAATTAGAACTAGCCGGTTGGCCGGCGATTAATCGCGGCCGCGCTCGATAGCTTGTTCGCGCGGCGATAATCCGCCTGGCCTTGCTTCTATCTGGCGAACGTTGCGCGACGTAAGTCGTCGCGCTTGATCGATCGATCGATGTGGGGCCGTCGTTCTCGCGGGACTGTGTTCGATGTAATCGCGAGTACCGTTTCACCGAAACGGAGCACCGAGGCTTGGATCCTTATCAGTCCGAGTCCTGTCGATGACAGTTGGATCCGACGGAGTGGACGAGAGCTGTTGTTGCCGGAGGAGCTCTGCGGCGCTTCCCGCCACTCGTAAAACGCTCGGCGGAAGTACGACACCGGCCTTGACACTGTGTTTACGATTAACGGCGAATCTCGAGGGGCTGGATCGCGCAATCGGGCCTCTCGACGATCGCGAGAGACGGCGATTTCTCCCTTTCGTTCTCCGTCTCTGTCTCCCCCTCTTTCCAGCCTTCTTCCCGCGGTATTGCGCAGAGAAGTGCGCTACGTAGTGACACGAGGCGCGAACTCGCCGCCGGTGGCCTTGACACAGTATGCTCAACGGTGTCCAGCGTAGCGCGGCCGGGTTGCCGCGCGCGGTGATTTATTCCGAACGCCGGCCGATCAGCGCGGTCGCCTGGCTATTTCGCGCAATTTACGCGCGACGCACCGTGCGTTTTAAAAGGTCAACTGTTACCGGCGTGGCGCGGCGCGGCGCGGCGCAGCGCGTCGTCGCCGTCGCGTCGTTCCGCTCCGCTCGTCGCGGCGTCACCTGTTTACTCTACTCGCCGGCCGCAGCGTCACGGACGGCGAGAGACGTGGTGGTCACGCACGCGCTCGCGTCGCGAGCCACGCGTTCCTCACGCGAGATACTGCGACGACACTGCGGCATCGCGCACCTCGCGCGCGCGAATATCCGCGGAACTGCCTGCCGGCGAACGTCGCGGCTCCGCGATCGAGCAGAGACGAGAGCGGCGAGAGAAAGAGAGAAAGAGCGAGAGGCGCGCACCGGCGAAACCGCAACTTACGGCAGTCGGACGTCAACTGCTCGACGAGCGCTACCCCCCACTCCCGCCGACCAATCAGCGCTTTCCCCCCACGCGGCCACGACCAATCGTTCCCCTCGCCTTCTCCCGCCGCTCGCCCATTCGTGCGCCTCGCGTGATAACGATACGTTATTAGGCAACGCTCACACCGGACAGGCCCGTGATAAGAGCTTTCGAGGCGCGCGTACACGCCAATTTCAGACGCGATTCGCCTCTCCCTCGCTCCCTCGCCGTACGTGCATTCTTACGCGCTCGCGCTTTTTAAGCAACGCTCACAAGAGACGCTTAAAAATATAAGCATGTGCGTAAAGTCAAATAGACTATATTGTTATTTAATTACGCGGATTATAAGCTGAATGTGTAATTAATTGCGCAGATAATTTGTAAAATTGCATTTCATCGCTAATCACGATATAATCGCACAATGCGAAAATGTGCTTTGTATATATTGTTCCGCACCGCACTAATTAATTCACCATTATTAGATGCGACGACGTATGTACGTCTACTTTTATCGCCCGCCGCTCATAAACAAATAGTTTATTTTTAGGAGAATTGTTTTCGACGATAGGACCTCGAGTTTCCGAGTGACGAGCCACCGTGGGGATTTTACATGACTTTCGTACGATAAATAAAGTCGTGGACAAGAAGGAAACCCCGCTTCTTTTTTAGAACAATCTAAACCGATGTCACAGCGCGGAGTGCGAAGGTCGTGGCTTCAAAACCGGACTGCTGCGCAGTTTACTAAATTTCCACCAACGCAGAAGAAATATCTATAATGATTCTCGCTCCCAAACGGTATAACAAGCGAAGCATTGAATTTCCGGATAACCGATCCACCCGACGCGACGACGACCTGATATTCGCCATTTTTTTCCCATCCAACGAGCGCGAGCCTCGCGTTTCAAACGAACGGGCAAATAAAATTTGCAAATGTAATCCTCGCAAACGGTAATCGCGGTAACCGCGCGCGCACGTCGTAATATCCGATAAGGTTTTATTCCACATGACATTTCATGCATTCATCGCTGCGAACATCAATAGCGCCTGTATCTTCGTAGCATTGCCTGATTTCGCTCTCCATTCTTTTTATCATGCAAAGTAAATATTCATTTGTAATCCTTTTATTGCGACGTACGGCCGAAGATCGCGCACGAGATATCGAGTTACTCTCTTATGCTTGTCGGAAAATAAGATATGGTCTGCGATTCGATTTCTATCGCGCAAATTTATATGCGGATTATAGTAAAATGTCACAAAAATATCGAAGGACGTGACTTGTCCATTGTGTGCACACATTCTATCGATTCTATCGTTCTAATTCTAGATACAAGCAGGAACTCTGTTATCAGGACTGTTAGAAATATGAGAATTGCCGAGATATTTTTGGTTTCACGTAACATTACGTTGTAATCCAACAAAAATACTTCGTTTTGGCGAATTACTCAATAACATTATGAATAATTTCAATGTGGAAAATAGACCGGCGGATAATTATCGATAAGTGAGAAAAGAAATGTTACTGGCGCGCGCGCGCATGTATGTGTTATGCCCGTATCACACTAGCGATTGGCGACTGCGTCTGCGTTCGCGTTTGCGTCTACGATTGTCTCTGGACCAATCAGAAAGGAGTTGCTGACGATTGCGATTCGCGATTCCCGTTTAACCGGCCGTCTATTTTCAAACGCGAACGCAGACGCAGTCGCCAATCGCTAGTGTGATACGGGCATAAGATTTCTATGCGCTTCGATCGCGACAGAAATTTGCGTGAAATAATTGAAGTAAAATAATTCAAGAGACTTGTAATTCGCGCGATGTTTTCGTAAAAATAAAAGCAAATAAACATTTTCGTCGGTTTTACAACTACTTTAGGATGGTAATCGCGTAAAAGCCTTGACACGACCCGACATGTCGTTCAACAATTCAAAGGACGAAACCCTTTTGATCAGCGCTCTAACACCGACAAGTATAATACCGGTTAGATGGAAATGCTGTAATGCGCCGCACTTACGGCTGATTAATTAACCGAAGAGCAGCGATCATCCACAGGGAGTTTGTATCCGTAAGCGGCTATAATTGAATTAACAGTAAACTCCACGGGTACTTTTATAGCATAGCTTCATCACTGAAACACAATAGCTCTTCACGTTCTCAAATCAAAACGCTCACACGCGGAATGCTTCATCGCACAAACGTCGATTTATTCGAGTGCGATCCACATGCGTATTTTTCTTTTTCGCGAATAAACTAACATTGAGCAGGCTAGTTTAAACTTTCAAGTGTAAGCTTTGCTTTAAAATTCAGCTAACGACGGTCATTCGATTAATTTTATCAAGTCTTTTCTCCCCGTGCGGCAAGTTGTAACAAATAGTATCGTGTATTTGCGCTAAGGAGCGTGTCCTCGTAAAACGATGCTTTCCCGATATGTAAAATACTGTGATTCAATCGTTCCGTTCATGTACATGTAAATTAAGATCGCTATAAATAACATTTCGGCGACTCAAACATCTACATCTAATTTATTATACGTAACAATAATATGTAATGTTTTAATTTGGATAATCGGACAATAAATGGAAGAAACTATATTTAAAATTATATACCTCTCGCAAGCGTCACATGACTCAATTCAGAAGAAATTATTATCGTGCCAATCTAAAGTATAATATAATAATCTTGACTTACTCATGAGGGGTGTTTTCAGGCGCGGACGTGCTACCCGGGGAGGACGTGCCGGAGTCATCTTCATCCACGTCATCCCTCATTTTTCAAAGCTTTCCTGCACATCAAAAAACGATGCTTTGTTAGTTTAGAACTGCTACATTATTGATAAGATCGTGTAAGCGCGCGAAATGTAATAACTCAACCTTTATACAAGTAATTACATTTCACGGGGACTGAGTTATGGGAGTATCTAGCTCAATTTATCGTATAAACTCAATCTTTCTTTTCACATTTTCCACGAAGGGTTTATAAATGTTACGATGGCCACTGCATTTTAATGCAAGATACGTGTACCATAACAATAAAGTTTTAAGAACGAAGCGTACATTGAAAACAAAAATGTTGCGTACATCCTAACGATTCTATAAAGGACCCCGCGCATTTTATATGGAAACTGGCTTCCGGTTAGATTTCGCTGAAATTAAAAAATATGTTATTGCCCACACCTTTCTGATAAAAAGTGTCAATGGGCACAACCTCCTAAAAGCAATAGTTTGAGCTACAAAGCTTCAAAGTCTCAATATTAGGATTTGGAGGTGAAGCTAACCGCTTAGGAGTTTATTTTTGTCCAAGTAAATGCATATATGCAATGATTAGAGAATGTGTGAGTATAATTCGGCGTCGGTGTATACAGGGTGTACTAAAACCACCGGATATCCTTTTAATCATAAATTCTTTAGAAAATTTCAAGACGAAAATTCTAACACAAAAATGTCGAGGCTATAATAGTTTTTAAATAATAAGCGATTGTATTTCACAAATGATAGGCCGGAGATTTCGCGCGCTCAGGCGACAAGACAAGTGATAAAAGTGATCCTATGAATGTCGCCCTTTTTAGCATAGTAACAACCTTCATGGCAACTGATAATTGATCGACCACTTTGACAGCTGCAACACTTTGAAGTTACAAAATGTTCCAAATTCTTACTTGAATTAAATGAAAAGGGGCGACATTCATAGGAACACTTTAATAACTCGTCATGTCGCCGTGTCTGAGCGCGCGAAATCTCAGGCCTGCCATTTGGGAAATACAATCGCTCATTATTTAAAAACTATTATAGCCTTGACATTTTTGTATTAAAATTTTTCTCTTGAAATTTTCATGCCATGCTAATCAAACGCTCCCTCCCTTTTTCTGTCACCCTATATGTACACCGACGCCGAATTATATTTATACATTCTCTAATCGTTACATATATGCATTCACTTGGACAGAAATAAACTCCTAAGCAGTACGCTAGCTTCGTAGCTCCTAAACTATTGCTTTTAGGGGATTGTGCCCATTGACACTTTTTATCAGGAAGGTGTGGGCAATAACATATTTTAAATGTCAAGAAAATATCAAAGACAAACGGCCAATAATTTTACGAACGGTAATTTTTACACTAATACATTAAAATTTAGGTATAATAAAGTTAAAAATTACATTGTCTCCCTAATTTAACTTATATTCGTAACACAATTGTGAAACAATGTAATTTTTAATTTTATTAAACCCAAAGTTTAATGTATTATTGTAAAAATTACCGCTCGAAAATTATTGGCCTTTTCGGTGATATTTTCGTGATATTTAATAAAGACGAGCTTGTGTCATATTTCTTAACATATTTTAATTTCAGCGAAATCTAACTGAGAGCCATTTTCCATGTAAAATGTGGGGTCCTTTCTTATGCTACTAAGTTACACAGTTTCGTTGCAATAACTCTATATACTCTACGGTAAATAAATCCCGCAAAGAATCGAAGACTTTATACATTTAAATGTTTGCCATTAGAGTTGAATTATGAGATATTTAGTTGAGCATACATCTTAAACATTTATCTGATGCATTCTTGACTTTTTTTCATACACGCTACGCAATTGAATTGGTGGAAGCACGAGTAAACCTACGATTGCTTTGGCATTCAATTGAGAGGGAGAGAGAATAATATTATAGTACTACGAATTCTACTTCAAGGAGTCGATGCAAAAACGATGTTACATCAGACGAACGATTATACTCTCTAAAAGTCAATCAGTGCATTATCACTGAAAACAGTTACAAGTATAGTACTGGATTATTTAGTGCTATACGTATAACTGTAAATCAGTGAATATTCACTGTTCTCAGTGATAATCCACTGATTGACTTTTAGAGAGTACGTAACTGATTGATCATGATGCGTATAGTTCAAAGTTGATTCAATATGATGGTTGTTAGCTAATACGGA